GCGAAGTAGATCAATATGTCACCGACTTAGATGACATGTTGGACAGGTCCTGGACATGGTTGTGAGTTATGAAGGAGTCACTAAATCACTTCCCATGTTCTGATTTGTGTCTGGTTTCCTAAGCACTTCTCGTGGCCAAAGGGGGAGGTGTGTGTGTGTGTGTGTGTGTGTGTGTGTGTGTGTGTGTGTGTGTGTGTGTGTGTGTGTGTGTGTGTGTGTGTGTGTGTGTGTGTGTGTGTGTGTGTGTGTGTGTGTGTGTGTGTGTGTGTGTGTGTGTGTGTGTGTGTGTGTGTGTGTGTGTGTGTGTGTGTGTGTGTGTGTGTGATGAGTTGGAGGGGAAGGGAATGGGTGTGTTGCTGCTGGAGAGAAGGTAACGAATGCTGGGGGCAATGCCTGCCCGGGCAAGTTTTTTCTTTCTTTTTTCCTTTATGTTGCAGGCCAGAGAACAGAGAGGAAATTCAAACCAAAATAACCTCTGTGCCCTTGCCTGAGAAATGTGCCCTCCTCCCCTCCACCCTTCCACCCTGCTCCCTCCAGATATCCTCCCTACTCTGAGGGAAAGGTCACACCGCGACAGTTCGGTGGAGTTGAGGGTGCCTTGGTTGCCGAGAGCGTCACTTGCCCTGGACGCCTACCCACCTTAGGGGGAGAGGGTACCTGTGACAATCTCTCTTTTATATTGTTTCGACTTTTCATTTATAAATGCACTTGAGTGATTTTATTTCGTTTTCTTTGTGTCCTAAACAAACTGCATGTCCTCTCATTTCTGAGAGTAATGATGCAATTTATGGAAAACTTTGTTACATTTAAGCCCCAAAAAAAATGTTGGGCTCTTTAACCCTTACGTTTAACGTCAGATATTTTTCTCGCACTCAAAAAAAAAAAAAAAAAAAAAGGCTCTCCCTCCCCGGATTTTGACGGCTGTTTTGTGCTGACAAAGACAGAAGCCCTCACACCAGGCCGTGGTGCTAGTTGTTATGCTAAAGGAATCTGACCTGATGTCACACACTGTCATAGGAGCGCAGGCCTTTGGGTGTTTTTGTCAGCGAGCGGAGCCTTCTGATAGGGCTGGTTTGTGTTCAGAGAGGAGGGGGTCGCGCCCTCGGGGGCACGAGGTCAAAGGTGAAGTGTCGTCATGGAACTATAGAGCTCGGGATAGAAAGGGCAGAGGCCTGCCGCATGGGATTGTGGGGCCTGGGAAATCAATGTGACGGCTCTGAGGAAACTTGCACCAAATAGGAGCTTTGTAGATATAAACCGTCTCATGCTCTTTTTATTTGATTGTCTACCAAAAAGTACATATAGTTCAGCTTATTTTCTACTTTACTAACATACAAATATATATATATATATATGTATGTGCAGACCTCAAATGTTTCTCCCCTCATTTTTTACCTTAGTGTTGCTTTTTGAGCTAATTGATAAAATAATTGCACATCTGCACACTTACTTTTTAACTGCAAGATAGTATAGTCCCAAAGCAGCCATTGTTTACCTCTGTGCATTGCTGTGTGTGTGTGTGTGAGTGTGTGTGAGTGTGTGTGTGTGTGTGTGTGGTTTGACATGTAAACCTGTGTCAGGCCGTCAGCTCACAGACACATTGGTGTCATCCAGACAAGCAGAGCTGTGCGTTGTGCTCCAAGCCTTCATCGCATTCAGGCTCCACTCATCTCTGTAAATCGTCTCTGGCTGTGTGTGCGTGTGTGTGCGTGTGTGTGTTTGTGTGTGTTTGTGTGTGCGTGCGTGTGTGTGTTTGTGTGTGCGTGTGTGTGTGCGTGCGTGTGTGTGTGTGTGTCTCCAAAAACCCTGCTGCTATGTGTGCGTCTTCTGTGTTCTGTGTGTGACGTGTGTGTGTGCGTCTTCTGTGTTCTGTGTTCTGTGTGTGTGTGTGTGTGTGTGTGTGTGTGTGTGTGTGTCTCCAAAAACCCTGCTGCTATGTGTGCGTCTTCTGTGTTCTGTGTGTGTGTGTGTGTGTGTGTGTGTGTGTGTGTGTGTGTGTGTGTGTGTGTGTGTGTGTGTGTGTGTGTGTGTGTGTCAGCATCATCACCAGGCACTAAATAACAAAGTACAGCACTTGGGGCGAGAGATATAGCGATATAAGAGCATCACATTAGATTCAGTATTTACTGAACACATCACTGTGGTAATCTGTTCTGGCTGTAATGTGGTTAAGGATATTTAGGTGTGTTTGTGGCTCGGCGCAGCTGCTCGTGCTGTTACTGTTCCCTTTTTTTATTAGGTATTTTTCCCCTTGCTTGCTGATGCTAAGCACTTGTTTCCCCTCAGATGAATAGGCTATTATTGAGATATTACCGTGGATATGAATTCTGCATTAGTCAATGAACAGCCATAACAAGATAGATCGTATTATATACACATGTGAAAAGATTTCCCTGCTTGTTAAATGTCATGGTGATTTTGGATTTAGACTTGTGTGATGTAGAATTTCACACCGCCGTTTCCACTCTTGAGCGAATTCCCCGCCATGGATAATGGTTACAGTTTAAGGCCAGTGTCTTGATTTTTCCATAAAAAAACACATCCCTTCAATCCTCTTTGGCTTCCCTGTAATACTGGGTGATATTTTAATCCTGTGGTGGTCAAGTGTTTGGCTTATTTTAGAAGTCATGGATTTTTTGCATATACTGCTAAGAGAAAAGTGTATTAAAACAAATGGCATCAGCCAATTCATTATTTTTCATGCATGTCATTAATTAGTCTAAGGTGTAAGGTGTAAATACAAATTCTTTTTTTTAAATAGAAAATCATACACATGCTGAACATCAAAAATGTGTACTAAAAAGACAATTTATAATTTATATAATTAATATATAAATTTTGCATATCTTGTTATTCAGTGTGTTTTTTACTCCTGTCCTCATATTGAAGCTAACTGATGTGTCTAGCAGAGATTGTGTGTGACTGTTTTGGCATGAAAGTCCATGTGTGTGTGTTAGTGTGTGTGTGTGTGTGTGTGTGCATGTGGAGCTGCAGCAGCTGAGGGCTGGTGTGTGTACGGCAGCGGCGGCATTGGTTGGGTTGTTGTGTGTTTGTGGCCGTGCGCGTTGTCAGTTCTCTGTGTGTCAGCAGTGAGCCAGGGGAACGCTTGGCTGCCTATTCAGGCCGGTGCGGACCCTGCTGTGCCCAGCTAGCATGAGCTGCTGGCGGGTGCTGGAGGGCACACAGCTCTCCAAAGAGGGAGTCTGAGTGGGTGTAGGGGCGACGTGGGGTGGAGAAAAGGGTTTGGGATGGTGGGGGTGATACTGGCAGGGGGTGGGGGATCTGCCATGCTGAGGTGTATGACTGGACCCTCTGGCAAATGTTAGATCTTGTCACTGCCGCCACCAACACTGCTCTAAATCCTCATTTCTCCCTCCCACCCCCCACTTTCTCAGCCCCCACTCACACCATGTCTGCAGTCCTTTAGAGGGAGATGGAGAAAGAGAAAGAGAGAGAGAGAGAGAGATTTACAGAGGCCAGCAGTCAGAGACACCAAACAGGGAACAACGGGAGGCTTGGCTGCCTGACCTTTTACCAAATCCCCCACTTTTCCATTCCAGTGGTCGCAGCCCAGACAGGCTGGGGGGCAAGCCTGCTTCACTGCCTGCATGTCTGCCTCTCTTGGTTGTCCTAGCTGCCCCCTCTGGTCTGGATCAGCCTGGGCTGGCGTCCCTGGATGTGTTTTGTTGACACTTTGTCACTGCTGCCTCAGGCTTTCAGAAAGCAAAGACGAAGGAATGAAAACAAGTGAAAAAATGTTCAAGTAGCATAAAAATATGAGCTTAAAAGGTGAAAACAGGGCTGTGGATATATGGTTTCTCTTTACTCTCAGGTGAGCAGCACATTGACTGCAGTGTTGTGATCTGCAGCCTCTGTGCCGTCGACTGTGTCGCCTATCACAGCCTCTTCCTCGTTTGACACATGTAACTCAGCTTGTCAGAGCTGTTTCCTACCTGTCTCTACACTCAGGCTCCTAGATGTGCCTGCACCTTAAAGCTCTGTGTGTGTCTTTGTGAAGCACACTGATGTGTTCACCATCCATACTGAGCAAGGCAGTGCTGTGTCTTAGTGAGGTAAGGAGATGGGAGAATAATAAGCCTGATTTTACAGAGGGCTCCATAAACTTTCTCCGTGCTTTAGGCTTCCTTGAAGGCAAAACCCAAAACTAACGGTGCAATACTGTCATAACACACAGCCCCACTGTACACTCTTTCCCAGTAACAGTGTCTCTCCCTACCTCTCTCTATTTTGTGCCTTTATTTGAACGTTTCTTTATTCCTTCCCCCTTCTCCCTCAATATGCTGCAGTCTCTATCCCAGAAGATGTGACGCTGTGCTTTTAAGTCAGGTTTAGCCAAGCACCTCTTGTACTCATCAGTCTTCCCCTAAATGAATATTTTTCGTTACATGGCACACAGTGATTTGTCTCCATACATGAAGCATGCATCTCAGCTGTCAGCAGATTTTTTTATTTGACTTGTAATCAACCTGTGTATTGATTTTCAGTAAAATAGGTGCAACCAGTTAATACGAGGCACCACACCTTGGTGACACAGGGTCGATACTGTGGCATGGTCATTATACCAGTAAATTGGGTCAAGCAGGGTTAAAGGCCAGCATTCTCTGTGCCCTTTGACCCTCTGACCGGCGGGGGGGGGGTCACCCAGGGGCGCTTCAGATTTGCACGCCTGGCTGGGAGAAAGCGTTTGTATGTGTGTGTTTTCACGTGTGTGTTGTATATCAGGCATGAAGAGGAGGAGTGTGAGCAGAGGAAGCTTTGCTCACAGCCTCTTTTTTCAGGTCGCGTTGATGAAGAGGTGGAATAGTGTTGAATTAATTTCACAGTGCAGATTTAGAGTGGGATGTGTAAATGACACTGGTTTAATTAAAAGTGTGTATTTTAAAATGCTTCATCTGCATCAGACAATGCCAATCGCTTGAAGTTGTTTTTCCATCTTTTCTTAATTATTAATCTTTTCCTCTCTGTGTTCTTGTCTGCAGAGTCCGAGCTGACCCAGAGTAAGACTGGAGCCGGGGCCCCAGGAGCTGGAGGAGGAGGAGGAGGAGGAGGAGGAGGAGGAGGAGGAGGAGGAGGAGGAGGAGGAGGAGGAGGAGGAGGAGGAGGAGGCGGGAGCAGCGGAGGGAACCACCTGCAGTGCCTGTCCGTCCACTGCACAGACGAGCTGGGGGACAGTAAGGGTCGAGGGGGGCCCGTCTCATCCTGGCGTTCGCTCCACTCTGATATCTCCAATCGGTTCGGGACATTCGTGGCCGCACTGACTTGAACAAAGCAGGAAGAAGAAAACGGGATTACTTATAAGACTTCATAAGCTTCAGAGACAACTTAAAGATGATATGAATGATGAGGAGGAAATGGTGTCGCTAGCAGCTCGTGTCTGCTCAGAGACAGAAAGACATTTACGCTCATAAATGCAAACACACTCACTCTCACACACACATTCACACATGCTAATACCATGTCTTTTCTGAAACATGCATTCACTCTCTCTGTCTTTCTCTCTCTCTCTCTCTCACACACACACACACACACAAACTCACACACTCACACACACATACACTGCTGGACTTTGCAGCGCGGGCTTCTCTCTACAATGCCCACATCTGGAAAACCTCAATTCAATACTTTGTTTTCTTTTATTTTCTTTGTTGAAGATAAATAAAGAAATGTCAAAGGAGGAGATAGAACAAATAGAAGTGGAAGAAGGGATATTCGGTTATTAGTGGCTCTGATTGTATACCAGTGTTGAGAACAAGATCTCATGACTTTCAATTCGTTGATGGCCTCATTAACTATTATGGATCCAATGTGTTCATCCAGAAGGAGAGATTTCTTCACTCCTATTAGTAAATATTGCAGACTGTTTAATACAAACACACCAAGAAGCAAAACCAGAGAAAGAAAGGGTGAATACGCATGAATGTAACTCAACAGTTTTTTATGAACACCTCATTCTCAAGCAAAATGAAACCTCAATTGTTCTTAATCATTTACAATTTGTTGCAATTCTTCAATCTTTATAATGCTGAGAACAACTTCCCCTCATTGTTTTTATTTTTATTCTCTTCTACTTACCTCTGCTATCAACCATATGAGCTCAACCACTTCTATACAATTCAGCCAATGGGAACTGAATAAATGGAGGTTGAGGGATTGTTTAATAAGGGAATTGAAAAAAAGACTATTGGTATTGCACATGTATAATAAGAGAAAATTTGCTGTGTGTTAGGCAATCTTGTAATCTTTAAATAAAGCTTCTGTTGAATTTGAATTTCTGAAACAATAGATGGAGGACTGTGACGGCATTTTATGAACTGATATTTGTTTTCTTTTTTTGGTTTTCTTTTTTTTAATAATATGTAAAGTGCAGTCGTCTGTTTTCCTGCATATTGTATATATCTGTATATGTTTTATTGAGTAACTAAATAACAATAAATATGACGTTAAAGGTGGTAATTTGTGTTTCCTGTGGCTTTTGCTTTTGATAGTTTATTATCAGTCAATGCAAAAAAAAAACAGATCATTGAATAGACTTTTTAGTCTACTACTAAGGGAGTATTGTAGTGAAGAGTGTGGGTATTCTGAGCTTCATCGTTGAATTACATACAGTGCACAGGGTGTACTAACAGTGACAGATATGACAGGGGAGTTGGGGGCTGAAGCACAATACCTGACAAGCATGCAGGAGCCGGCAAAACATTAAAGACGCAAGATCAGGAATACTAGTGAACTTGGCTTACTGCTGGATTAAGAAACCAACAGGATTAATTTCATGTGCACCTGCACACAGCCTGTTCTGCATTTTCTCCATAAATGTGATTTATTTTGCATCTCAGAAATCAGCAATGACCAATAGAAATGCTTTATTGTCAGAGTTATAATTTCTATATCACTACAAATGCAAAAATGTTAAATGAAACAAAAATCTTTCAATCTTTATCGCTTCTCTTATTTTTCTGTTTCCACATAATTTCTGTTGTTTTGGGCCACTCTACACCCTGCCCCCTTCTCTCTGCAGCCCAAGACACACACACCTACACACACACACCCACACACCCCTCCCCTCCTCCAACTCCCCCAGCCCTCTTTGGCTCACCTGCTCTTTATTGGCCATCTGCATGGATGCTTAATGCTAATCAATAACTCCCCTGTGTGCCAGCTCTGAGGTGGAGACGTCAATGCTACCTAACAGGGCTAGTGATCAACCCGCATCACTGCCGTCTAGGATACACACACATACTCACACGCAAACACACACACACAGAAACTGGAGCTCCCTGCAGGACCCTGTCTGTGTTATTCAGGTGTGTTTGTGCTTGCTGCTGTACCCGCGCCTGCTGTGTTGGATTGCAGAGCCTGTTGTGAGTGTGATGCGTGCAGAGCTGCAGCGTTAGCAAACAGCAGAGACTGGTTATGTGAGAGGCTGTCATGTCACCTGGGAGGGCCTGTTTAGGGAGGAGAGAGAGGGGGAAAGAAAGTGGGAGACGACTGGGGAATAAATGCTGATTACACTGCTCACTTTGAAATTGGAGCTGGAGATTCTCTGTTAGGTTTAGTCAGAAGCAGACAAATGTTGTGTGAATACTTACGGCATTTTATGCTTTTGTGTGCACAAGATTCAACGTGTTCTCTTGATATTGTAAGACACTTAGATTTAGCAAACATGGAAGGCACTTGGTCATAATTATATGAAGTAATTAGACCTTTCAATTCCTTATTGTTCACAAAGGACACATTGTACAAAGCAACAACAAGTTCATAAGTGTGGATGACACTGCTGTGATGGTATTTGGTAACATGACAGACGTGACAGACTAGCATTTTAAGGAGTAACATTTTAAGGTGTGTCACCAATGTCTGATATGGATCAAAAGGGGTCAAGTGCTTCTCAATTGAAGTCGAAACTTAAAGAGGAGATGTATGCTTTATTTTCACATGGTTTTAAATTTCTTTAAAGAGTCACCACATTCTGTGTGTGCCTGAACTCTCCTAGTGACACACCACCTGCCAGTTTGGTTTGGCTGATGTGTTTCATAGCAGGCCGAGGACTTGTGTTCACAGGTTTCTTAACGGCACTGACAGTTGCTGCATAATCAAAACTTAAGTACTGGGCTTGGTAGTTCACAAAGGTTAATTCAGTCTAAAAATGATCCAGATTTGGAAATCCACTTTTTTTTTGCCTGCCACGTTCAGGTAATCCAGCTCACTTTCATTTTTCTAAGAATGATAAACCTTATCCAGTCACAGGACGTAGCTCTACATACTTTGTCCACAGGGTGCGCCAACAATCACACACACTGACATTTCCTTAATGCTGCTTCAAAAAAAAAAGGAATGTTGGATATTAACAGCTATTTGTTTTAGTATTTCATGTGGAAATGATGCTTTATGTCGAATAACTGCTTATCAGCATAGAAAATCTAAAACGTTGACTGAGCAGGGCTCACACCTGAGTTTGTTTACCTGAGTTTTTTTCTCCCCCATGTCTGAGTTTTTTTCTTTGCACTTACTTATATGGGAGCTGTAGCACACGGGTTATTGTTGCATACTTTATTGCAGCTGGTGCAACCGGCTGTTACTTTATGAGTTAACTGTCTGCTTTCAGCATTTGCATTATGTTTAGCAAATAAATGTTTTCTGGTTGCAAAGCATTCCCTTTTCCTTTGGTTTTATTTTTTACAACTTCATCAGCGACCAGTCGACATCGACTATTAACACATGACTGTTGACTTGAAAATCGAAAATCTTGCAACCCCTAATCCAGACCAATTTCATAACCTTTTTTTTCCTTTTGGAAACCTGTTAGCAATATTTTAATACAATCTGAAAGCTGTTATCCATTTAGCTGACTTTTGAACATTGTGCAAAAGGCGACTAAGTTCATTTTTAACTGCAGTCTTAATAAAATGCTGCTGGATGAGTTGACTTGTGAGAAACAAAGATTTAAGTGAAAAGTCAGAGCAAACCCCTGTTTTTTCCTGAACATGCCTGATGCCCAGCCACAGCCGTGTGGGACCTAGCGACAAAGAGGTCTTGGGATATTGGCTCGGTCAAGATGTATGGCGCTGGACCTTCTCCTTCAATAGGCTCCTCTGCGTGGCGGCCATATTGGGGGGGAGAGCACTGTGTGGTCGCCTGAGAACTTATGTGTTTCCCAGCCAACGCGCATCTAAAGAATAACAATTTCACTAGCCATGAAGACCATCCATGGAGCCGAGGGGGCCGTGTCCAGAAAGCTCGGCCAAACGCGTTCCTCTCATGCAGCTTTCTATGTACTCCTATAAATACATCTCCTATTTGTATAGAGGCGATATGCATCTTTGGGAAAATACCACAATGTTGACATAAGAGCACCCTCTACACCCCCTCCTTCTTTACTGCCCCCTCCCCACCTCTCTCTCTCCAAACTCTTTCTCCCCCTTGCTGAACCTTTCACTGCCTGAGCAAGAGAAAGAGAAAGAGAGAGAGAGTGAGGAGAAGGAAAGAGGAATGAAGGGAGACTGGGAGTAAAAGAAGTGTCTCTTAGAGGCCTCCACGGTCTTTAAGCCACTATGGTATCCACCAGAGCCCTCACATACACTCGGCCTCTAAAGAGCTTTTGTCCTGTAAAGAGGGGGTTTGGCTAAATTGGGGGTGCTTGTGGATTGGCGGGTGGGATTGGGCTTGGTGTAGTATATTTGGCTCCCACGTCTCCATCACTAGAATGGCAAACTATTTTTTTTAAAGCTAGGGAATTGAGGGGTGGGGTATGAAGGGGCAAAAGGGGGCTCTGTTTTTTATAGGGGGTTTGGAAATCTTCCAAACAGTGCCTTTTTGCTTTCAAAGAAGGCTCCACTTGTGTAAATGTGCTCTTTGTCCCTTGGCCTATTGTTTGACTAGCATTGTGGACTTTTTGTGGGAAGCTCACGGGGGCCTTGGGGGCCTAGGAGGCCAAAGAGGGTCCAAGGGGGACTCTGGCTGACTTGGACCCAGGATGATATGGCCGTGAAGGTAAAATGAAGATGTGTTTATACATGCATGCAAATATAAACATGTATCTACACTTCCACTTCCAAAACACTTCAAACATACGAACACAGAATATGAATTTAAAGTATTTCTATTGCCTGCAACAAGTTCAGATCGTTGGTCCAAAGTTTGTGAAGTAAATGTAAATGAGACCCAACAGAACTGCTGTCTTTCAGACGACTCTCCCATTGTCATCCCCTCTCTGCTGATAGAAACAATATGAAAACAGTCTGCTTCACTCCCCCTATAAAGGGATTTCTTCATAGAGCTGAGAGTCCCTCGCTGCAGCCAATTCATGACTTCCATCTGTCCTCGCTCTCAAAAGATGCCGGCAGGTGGAAGAGAAGCACAAACCATTTGAATTGGAGGTCCTTTTCTTATTCTGCTTTTACAGAGTCCATGGGTCAGTCTGGTTAAATGTTTACCCATGCAGTAAAATTATTAAGTGAAAGTATATTAAAACACTGACTGTGGAGAAAGAAATGTAACTACATAAGGTGCAGCACAGAGGAAACTTTGCCTTTATAGATCCCTAATGAGGACACTTTTGCAATCTTCCTGCATCACACGGGATGTGTTTTAACAGTGTGGTTGTAAGGATACAATAATAATGCAACAGGTGCATGTGGTTTCACAGACCAGAAGCAGCCTTAAATTCAAATCCAATGAGGATAATCCAGTGAGGATAAAGTAAGGCTTGGTAAATCGCTCCCTACCATGTAAGGACAGGCTTCCTCTCTTCTGGTACTCTGCCTTCTTTGTTTTTCTTCTACAAATCCCTGTCAACCACAACATTCCCATCACTTCCCACAGTTGGTTCAATCCTCAAGTCCCTCCAGAGCTCTCCTCTACTGTCATCTGTAGATATCCTGTGACCTCTCTCCCCCCCCCCCCCCTCAGAGCAACACTCAGGCTTTCTACAGGAAGGTGATTGAGCATGGCACCCTGCTCCAGCCCTGTCCTGCTTTGTCTGGGGACGTGTGCCTGTGTCAGGAACCACAATTAGTGGGGCGCGTCCCCTACCATTAATCACAGAACAGTCCTGGATCTCAGTGCGGGGCTGAGTAACCTACAGCCGCACTCTCTGACAGTTTACTCAGCTTCAGTTTCAGCATGTTGGTGGACATGGAAAATTCAAAACAACCATATGAAATGCTGCATGTTGTGTTTTTGTCTTTCATACAATCATTACCGCTTAGTTTATGTCACATTTATATACAGATTATTTTACCCAGATGTTCTTTTTTTCACTGAACATGAAACACACAAGTACTTTTCCATTTAAATCTATTTACTAATCAACTTTCCAGGTGTTCTTTATCCCTATATTTGGTACCTTTATAACTCAAACTGATTACATACTGCTTCTTAAAACCTCCCTCGAAAGTAGATATAGGATCCTGAAACAATACAACGTCATCATCAATAATTCTTTATGGTGTAA